GTTATTTTTGTGTGCGTGTACCGTCAAATCAGATCTGACTGGTACTGGAGGAGATTGTCCCTCCTTCCCCGGCAGAGCATCTGGTGGATTCGAACCGTGCGCCTCTGGGATTGTAGTTGCAGCTCCTTGCCACTAGGCCACCAGAGCTCCCCTCTGTTTCAATCTTTAGTTAAAATCCTGATTGACAACTTCTTAGCTCCATGATCTGCTTCAACTAACATCAGTGTTTCTTTCCTCATGAACATAATCCTTATAGGTTGGTGGTATTGTTATACTGAATTGGAACCAAGGCCAATTATACAGGAGACTGCCCATCTTCCTCCTGTAAAGCAGCTTGTGGATTGGAACCACCGGCCATTGAGTTGGCCATGCAACTCCTTATACAGTGCCCTCACAGATCTGTGTTATTGTACCATCAAGTCAGAACTAACCCTCCAGTGGGTTTTCAGAAGCAGTATATTGCACTGGAGGAGACTGCCTATCTTTCTCTCCCAGAGCGAATGGTGGATTCGAACTGTGCTCCTTTGGGTTGGCAGCAAAATTCAAGAATTATAAAAGCAACAGAAAAATATTCAACCAACTGAGTGGATTTTTATGCACCACAGACTTTTTACACTAAAAAAAAAATAAAAAAAATATTAACTTCCATTTCTATAGCACCCCCTTGGCACCTGAAGTAGCATTTTTTTTTAATCACCATCTTTTCAAATGAATTAGAATTATCTCTTACAGAACATTATATGCAAAAAGTTTGGGGTGCAAGTCTAATAAAAGTCTGAGATCCTGTCACTCCCCAGAATGTGTATGAATATATACGGAAATATGCAGTGCACAGAATGTTGGTAGTTGCAGAGCAGCCATTACATGCAATGAGAAAAGGTCTGCTGGATGTACTTCCAAAGAATTCATTAGAAGATTTAACAGCAGAAGATTTTAGGCTTTTGGTAAATGGCTGTGGTAAAGTTAATGTGCAAATGATGATCAGTTTCACTTCTTTCAATGATGAATCTGGAGAAAATGCTGAGAAGCTCTTGCAGTTCAAACGCTGGTTCTGGTCAATAGTGGAGAAGATGAGCATGACAGAAAGACAGGACCTTGTTTATTTTTGGACATCAAGCCCATCACTACCAGCTAGTGAAGAAGGATTTCAACCTATGCCCTCCATCACACTAAGGCCACCAGATGCTTGTTTATTTTTGGACATCAAGCCCATCACTACCAGCTAGTGAAGAAGGATTTCAACCTATGCCCTCCATCACACTAAGGCCACCAGATGACCAACATCTTCCTACTGCTAATACTTGCATTTCTCGAGTCTACGTCCCACTTTATTCCTCTAAACAGATTCTCAAACAGAAGCTGCTGTTCGCCATAAAGACCAAGAATTTTGGTTTTGTGTAGAGTATAAAAAGTGTGTATTGCTGTGTAATATTACTAGCTAATTTTGTAGATTTTTTTTTCCTATTTGTCTATAAAAGTTTATGGAAGTTAATGCTGTTCTACCCCCCTGGTGGTAACTTAAAAGATTGAATGAAGACATTCCTTGCTCCTAAGGAGCTCTAGCAGCATTTGCCTACAGTGGTTTGTTGGTCAACAACTTCTGGGTCTAACCTCAGCCAAAGATGACAGCAGAACAACATAATTTACACTGTGATTTATCTTTTTGCTGAGGGGAAAAAAATGTAAAATGTTCTGAAAATTCACTGCTGCCTTTGTGGAAAGTGTTTCAGCAAAGGTTCTTGTATAGAGGAAATAGGGAATTTAAAAATAAAAAATTAAGTATGAAAAAAAAAGTCTGAGATCCATTGTCTAGTCTAAATGATCTGACTAAAAGAAATATCAATTGGGGTTGTTGTTTGTTGTTATGTGCCATCGAGTCGCTTGCGACTCATAGTGACCCTATGTACAACAGCCCTAAACTCCGCTCTGTCCTGTGCCAATCGCACTGTCTCTGACACTCCCATCCCAATTATCCCAGTCACTGAATCAATCCACCTCATAGAGGGCCTTCCTCTCCTGCGCTGTCCCTCCACCCTCCCAAGCATGATATCCCTCTTCAGGGACTGGTCCCTCCTCACATGTCCAAAGTATGTTAGATGGAGCCTCAGAATCTTTGCCTCCAAGGAGCCACCCAATTTAACCCTTTCCAGGACAAATCTGTTTGTTTTCCTAGCAGTCCATGGTATTCTCAATACTCTTCTCCAGCACCACAGCTCAAAGGCATCAATTCTCCTTCTATCCTCCCTGGTCATTGTCCAACTCTCTGATGCATAACAAGTGATTGCGAAGACCATAGCCTGTATCAGACGCACCTTAGTCTCCAGAGAGACACCATTGCTCTTCAGTACGTTGGAGAGGTCACTAACAGCAGACTTTCCCATGGCAATGTGCCTTTTAATTTCCTGGCTGCTGGTGCCAAGACTGTTGACTATGGAGCCAAGCAAACTAAAGCTGTGTACCATCTCAATCTCTTTACTATCCATCCTGATGCTGTCAATTGGTCCAGTGGTGAGAATCTTTGTCTTCTTGACATTGAGCCTCAATCCATATTGTAGGCTGCAGTCCTTGACACTCTGTAGCAGGCGCTTCAGGTCCTCTTCAGTTTCAGCAAGCAGGGTTGTGTCAACCGCTTAACGCAGGTTGTTGATAAATCGTCCACCAATCTTGACCCCACATTTCTCCTCATAGAGCCCAGCCTCCCGGGTAATCTGTTCTGCATATAGGTTGAAAAGGTATGGAGATAGGATGCATCCCTGGCATACGCCCTTCCCAATTTTGAACCATGCAGTGTTCCCTTGCTCTGTTCAGACGACTGCCTCTTGGTCCAAGTATAAGTTTCACATAAGCACAATCAAGTGTTCTGGGATTCCCATTCTTCTCAGAGTCAGCCATAGTTTGTTATGATCTACACAGTCAAATGCCTTTGCACAGTCAATGAAACACAGATAGACATTCCTCTGGTATTCCCTGCTTTCAGCCAAGATCCATCTAACATCAGCTACAGTATCTCTAGTACCACGACCCCTTCTAAACCCAGCCTGGACTTCGAAGGTAGTTAATAAAACAAAACCCAATATAAGAACTGCCATCTTGGTGTTAAAGAACAGCCACAGTATTCTGAAAGAGAATGTTGACAACAAAGGCAAAATGGAAAAGATTTTTAAATGCAACCTACCTAAATCAAAAAGTTCCTATGGGAAATAAAGAACTATATGAAAAAAGGCTGAATCCAGATTCTGAAAGAATGTCATACAAATGCAGGCAACAAAGAACCAGTAACAATTGCTTAACTCGATGAAATTCATTGCCATCAAGTCACAACTGGCTCATAGCTGATCCTCAGGCAGGTTTTCAGGGGCTGGACATGGCACGGAGAGAACTCCCCATCTTACTCCTGCCAAGCAGCTGTTAAGCAGCTGGACTGGTAGCTCAAGGCCTTACCACTGGGCCACCCAGCTCCCTTGGCCTGTGAAATCCAAGAAAACAGTTAACTTCCATCACTTCAGGTAATGTGGGTTTTCTCTCTGGCAACATTGTTTTAAAATAATCTGTGTCTGATGGCCCAGAAAATGCTGGGCTGCTAAGTAGGAGGTCAGCCAGTGGCTCTTGTCTAGAAAGATGGAACAATCAGCTTTCATGAAGATTTACAGTCTAAGAAATCCTATGGGGCCATAACCTAGGATCATCAGGATCGGCAACTTTTGTTTGAAACAAAACTTGTCCGGTTTATCCATGCTTTTATTCCTTGAACTTAACGATGGGCACAGGGCCCCAAATAAACGCTGCATAAGCGAATTTTTGTTCATGGCTTTTCAGGGAAACCAAACCACAAGCTACTGTTTCTATTTTCTTTTTTTTTTTTTTTTGTTTCTATTTTCGAGATGATACTGTTTCTATTTTCCAGATGACTTTTGCAAGCTTCTCTTCTGGAGGGAGAATTCCAAACAAGAAAAGGAAGCTCCAGTCTTCACCCTTTGGGTAAAGTTTATGCTCCACATAAACTTCTGGTGAAATGCTTCACCTGAGGACACGTATTACAAGAGATATAAGGTCTCGGACAAACGGCACCTTTTCGGAGCCCTGTCTCCCCTGTAACAACGCAGGAACTGAGCAACGTGAGACGCAGGGACGCATCCAAGGTCACCAGGGCGAGTGGAGAGTACCACTGAACCCGCACAAGGCCCGACTGTGCCCTGGACTGCCAGGAAGCTCGAAGCCCTGTCGGGTCCAAGCCTGGATCTGCTGACCATTCACCGCAAGGTCACCTGGGTGCCCAGCTGGGGGCAGCAACGTTGCCTCTCGTGGACCTAGAGGTAAAGCGGGCTAAGGATCCCACCGGCCAATCAAACCTGCGCCGCCCAGTTACCGAATCTACGCAAATGGGTTCCGCTCGCATTTCAGGAGACTCGCTAGCGGAGAAAGGGGGCACAGAGAGATAGGAGACGGGCATAGAGAGATAGGAGACAGGCAAAGACAGCCGATCAGGCTCACCAAGGTTCTCGTGCGTACTCCTCCATCTTGATTCCAGCCGCGCGAGCGATGCCGGGGAACCTGGGCTGAGCCTTACCCGAGGGCGGAAGTGATCTCGTGGAGGGCGTTAAAGTCTACGGCGATTGGTTTAGCTTCCCTGCTTCAGCCAATGGTAGCTGAGATTCCGGACAACGGGAGGACAGCTCCGGCTTTGCGTAAGTTGTGACCCCGCCTTAATACTGCTAAGGGAGGCGCTGGGACTTCCCAAATGTTGGAGAATTAAAGTTAATTCAGTCCTGAAACTGATAAGGAGACTCCTTTGTGGCGCGATAAATTAAGTCTTGAACTGCTCGTGGAAAGGTTCCTAGGGAGCAGTGCTATCTTATAGGGCAGCCATGAGCCTTACTCAAAACGAAACTGCATAGATAAGGAATGTTGTTTGTGTTATGTGCCATGGGGTTGCCTGCGACTCCTAGAGACCTTACTATGTACAAGAGCTCTGAACTCTGCTCTATCCTAAGCCAGTCTCATTGCCTCCGACTCTTCTACCCCCATTACTCCAGTTATTTTGTCAATCCATCTCATCCAGGGTCTTCCTGTCCTGCTTTGTCCCTTCCAAGCATGATGTCCTTCTCCTAGAACTGGTCCCTCCTAAAAACATGCCCAAAGTTTGTGAGACAGAGCTTCAAAATCCTTTTCTCCAAGGAGCAGTCCGTTTTCACCCTCTCCAGGACAGACCTGCATGTTTGTTCTCTTGGCTATCATGATCAATAATTTTCTCCAGCACCGCACTCAAAGGCATCAGTTCTTTTGTCGTCTTTGGTCACTGTCTAGCACTCTAATGCATAGCAAGTAATTGTGAAGACCATGGCCTGGTTCGGACGCATGTTATTGTTGATTGCCGTTGAGTCGAGCATGACTCATAGCGACACTATGAACAAAAGGCCTGAAGCCTCTCTGTAACTATCCACATTTATCAAAGTTCATAGAGTTTCCAGAGGATTGTTGCTTAGGAAGTGGGTGCCACTCCCGCTTAGGCACTGGAAAAGATGAAGAGAAGGTAATTCTGAAAAGAAGGGGAGATAAGGCATTATAAGTTCCACAACTAACAAGTTGATACAGAACATGTATGAGGGAATGTAGGGGGAGAGAAGCGAGAAAAATTGATACAATGAGTAAATGAAAAGCCTATTTCTGTGTAACACCCACCCCCCCCCACCCCCCACCCCCCGCAAATCACAATAAAAAACATTGAGTTTGGTTTTGCTCAGTATCAAACAAACAAAAAACTCAAACTCACAGGAATTCAGTTCTGGCTCATAGCTATCTGATAGGTCAGGGCAGAGCTGTACAATAAGGTTTCCAAGGTTAAAATATTTTTTTAAAATGTTAATTCACTGTCTTTTATTAACTCATAATTACTTGTCCTCTGGTTTGTTGAAGCAGTAAGTCAGATAGCACTTGCCACAGCAGTGTCTGTCAAAGTGGCTGGCCATGAAGACTCCAGCACCGCATTCATCTGAAGGACACTCCTGGCGAAGGCGACTAATTTTGCCATTCTCATCCACCTTATAGTATTTCAGAACAGCCAGCTTAACCTTCTTTCTCTTATGCTTATTCTTCTTGGGAGTGGTGTAAGACTTCTTCTTCCTTTTCTTAGCACCACCACGAAGTCTCAATACAAGGTGAAGAGTGGACTCCTTCTGGATGTTGTAGTCAGACAGGGTCCGCCCATCTTCCAGCTGTTTTCCAGCAAAGATGAGTCTCTGCTGATCAGGAGGAATTCCTTCCTTGTCCTGGATCTTGGCGTTGACATTCTCGATTGTGTCCGAGGGTTCAACCTTGAGCATGATGGTCTTCCCCGTGAGGGTTTTTACGAAAATCTGCATCTTGCCGAAAATCTGCATCTTGCCGGTGGGCCCACCACAGATGGCTGATCACAAGGTTAAAATCTTAATAGAAACAAACTGCCTCATCCTTCTCCAAAGAACAGTTAGTGGGCTGGAATCCTTTTAGTTAGCAGCTGAGCTATTATTCATTGTGCCATCAAGTCTCCTGACCTGAGATAAACCTGGAGTCCAACGAACTTACTTATTTAGTGCTTTGATTGTTAACTGTGACTTCACGCTACTTAATTCATCATAGGATTTTTCAATGACTAGTTTTGTGAAACAGGAGTGGCATCCACTTCCTAAACAGCATTCCTCTGGAAACTCTGTGAACTTTGATAAATCAACAACAACAAAAACAACACAGTTTTATGAAGCTCTTACCACCCATCCACGATGGTCCTCTTTCATAGTCACAGTATCTGGAATGTAATAGGTGCTCAACAGATGAAATCTCAAAACAATTCATTGTGCCATTGAATTGGAACTGACTCATAGCTGATGAGCAGATGAATTATTCAGAACACAAAGACTGTCAGTGATTGTGTTGACTGTTAGTTCATATTAGTAATCTGATTTGGGTTAAGTTGAAGGCCTGTTTGGAATGTGACTAAGAAGAGCCTAAGTCTACTTAATTGTACAGAATGAATAAAGAACATAGATGCAACAATTGTAGAGGTTAGAATCAGAAAAATTAAGAGAACAAACATTTTCTATGTAGTCAGTATTCTAGACACTGTTAAGAGTGAACATTTTCTATGTAGTCAGTATTCTAGACGTTGTTGTTGTTATGTGTCATTGAGTAACTTATGACTCATAGTGACCTATGTACAGCAGCCCTAAACCCTGCTCTATCCTGTGCCAATCTCACTGTCTCTGACACACCTACTCCCATTACTTCAGTCACTGAATCAAGCCATCTCATCAAGGGTCTTCCTCTCCTGCACTGTCCCTCCAACCTCCCCAGCATGACTTCTTTCTCCAAGGACTGGTCCCTCCTTGCAACATATCCGAAGTATGTCAGATGAAGCTTCAGAATCCTTGCCTCTAAGGAGCAGCCTGGTTTCACCTTTTCTCTGACAAACCTGTTTGTTCTCCTAGCAGTTCATAGTGTATTCCATACTCTTCTCCAGCACCACAGCTCAAAGGCATCAACCTTCCTTCTATCATCTCTAGTCATTATCCAGCTTTCTTATGCATATATATTCTAGATTTAGTGGACACAAACATTTTGGTAAATTAGGATTACTATCATGGGGACAAGCCTAAAGAAATACCCTTTATATTTAGATGTCTGGTCAACAGATTTGAGGTCAAATTTGTTCCCATTCCCAAGAGCAGTGATCCACTTGAATGTGGAAACTATAGAACAATATCATTAATATAAAATGCAAGCAAAATACTGTTGATTATTCAGAAATGGCTTCTAGATATTCAAACAAGATTGGGAAGAGGCCATGACCATCAGGGACATCATTGCTGTTTTCAGATGGATCCAGCTCAAAGTAAAGGAACACCAGAGGAATGAGTATTTATGCTTTATTAACTATGCAAAGGCATTTGACTGTGTGGATCATAACAGGTTTTGACTAACATTGTGAAGAGTGGGAATCTTAGAACACTTATTTGTGCTCATTTTTGCAATATCTAGAACAGGAGGCTGTTGTAAGAACAGAGCAAGGGAACACTACATGGGGTAAAATTAAGAAAGGAATGTGTCAGGGTTGTATTCTTCCTCCATACCCATTCAATCTGTATGCTGAGCAAATTATTAGAGAAGTTGAACTCTATGAAGAAGAATGTGGCATCAAGAGCAGAGGAATACTCATCAATAACCTGCATTATGTAGATAAAACAATCTTGCTTGATGAAAGTTGAAGTACTTGTTGCAGAAGATCAAACAATACAACCTTCAATATGGATTACATCTTAACATCAAGAAAACAAGATTCTCACAATAATGTGTGAGAAGTTAATGGAATAAAGTTATTAATATTTAAGTAAAAAAAAAGAAAACAAGATTCTCACCACTGAATCTATAGGCAACATCATGATAGATGGAGAGAAGATTGAAACTGTCATCTTCATTTTATTTGGATCCACAATCAACACCCTTGCTACCAGCAGTCAGAAAATCAGGAGACATATAGAACTGGGAACATCTGTAGTCAGGGCCCTCTCCAAATGATTGAGGACTAATGATGTCAGTGAGAACTAAGGTGTGCCTGATTCAGGCCATAGTCTGTCTGATCACTTGCTATGCATCTGAGAGCTGGACAATGAATAAGGATGACTGAGGAAGAATTGACACCTTTGAGCTATGATGTTGAAGAAGAGCACTGACCATGCCATGGACTGCGAAGAGAACAAACAAATATGTCTTGGAGAAAGTGCAGCTGGAATGGTCCTTGAAGGCAAAATGATCAAGCTTGCCCTCACATGTTTCAACATGTTGCCAGGAGGGTCATTCCCTGGAAAGGGACATCATGCTCGGAAAGAAAGGGGGTTGGCAAAGGATAGGACGACCCTCAACCAGGTGGATCGACACAGTGACTGCTGCAGTGGGCTCTAATGTGTCAGGAGGTGTCACAGGACAGGACAGGGTTCAGATACAGGGTCACTATGGGTTGTGCTCAACTCATCAGCGCCTAATAACAACAACCACCACCTTGCTCTTACACTTTGTACTTTATTCAATTTCAAGATTGTTGTTTCTTTTCAGAATAGAGATAGTTTTTTTCTTTAGAAGAGAATATCTTTTACTTGTTGCTATTCTTCCTATACTGATTGATGCATCTGTCACTTGTGAGCTTGAGTTTTTTTAAAACAATCCATTTACCATTTATTTGCTATTTTCTTAGGAGAGAATATCTTTTATTTGTTGCCATTCTTGCTATACTGATTGATGCTTCTGCGTCTTGTGAGTTTGAGTCTTTTAAAAATTTTTTTTAATTTTATTTCATTATTTTTTGTGTGTACCATCAAATCAGATCTGACTGGCACAAGAGGAGATTGTTCCTCCTTCTCCAGCAGAGCATCTGGTGGATTTGAACCATGCACCTCTGAGACTGTAGTCGCAGCTTCTTGCCACTAAGCCACTAGAGCTCGCCAAGTTTGAGTCTTTTAAAATAAATCCATTTACCAGAAGCTGAGTATTAGTATTCACATTCTGTATT